CATTCCTATAGGCCTACCACGACATGTTCTTAAAAAACCAAAAGATGTTCGAATAACAATGTTTTAAGAACATCAGCCCGATGTGTTCAAACAAGACAGTCCGAGCCAGACATGGTCTAAGAACATTTCGCGGAAACCACAAAAGGTCCTTTGAACATTATTTGGTAGCCCTATAGGCACGCCAGGACGCTTCGCCACTGCTTGACATTCAGTGCCTCTCTTACGGGGACTCCACTAACGAGTACTTTGGCCAGTGGCCCGGCGGACCCAACACTCCCCGATGTGGGCAGCGCAGCAATGCTAGGAAGAGGCCCTAAAGTGGCAACGCCCGGCCATCCCACCAGCCCTCTGGGCGTGGTTGGTTTAGGGAGTTTCCTCTTCCACCCCTCCTTCTTCACTTTCGGGGAAGGATTTGTCACTGATCCCTATTAATAAACACCCCCTCCCCCAGGCGACTGGGGGCCAACCAGGGTCCATGACAACACCCACCCCCCACCATCCCTTGTAAACAACAATACAAAACACACTCTGCCTCCAAATTCGGAACATGCGCAGCCAACCCGATGCGGCCCCCCCCCCACCCACCCCTGTCAAAAACAATACAGAGTACACTTGGCGGCGGCGGCGGCGGCTGCGGCGGCTGCGGCGGCGGTGGCGGCGACTGCGGCGGCTGCGGCGGCGGCGGCGGCAACGGCGGCGGCGGCGGCGGCAGCGGCGGCGGCGACGGGCGGCGGCGGCAGCGGCGGCGGCAGCGGCGGCGGCAGCGGCGGCGGCGGCGCGGCGGCGGCGGCGGCGGGCAGCGGCGGCGGCGGCGGCGGCGGCGGCGGCGGCGGCGGCGGCGGCGGATTGGCCCCCAGTAGCTGCCCATCCAAAGGCGACTGCTGAATATGCTGAGGTTCGGGCCAGACTCGGGTGCTACGTATGTGTTGGGAGGGCGGGTGGGAGTGAGCGAAACGGCTTGCGGGCGGGAAAGGGGTCTTGACCCCTCCCCCTACCCCCTCCCCTGGACCCGGACGGAGGGTTCCGCGAGTCGTCGGAACGTCCAAAAAAAGGCCTCGGCGAGGAAGCCAAAAGCATTGGTTTTACCAGGGTTTTGACCCCATGTTGGCCTCTTGGGGGGTGGACGCTAATTAATGTCCCCCTCTTGTTTGATCGATATCCTCCAAGATGGCCCCAGGAAGCGCCCAGGAGGCCCCAAGAGGTCCCAAGATGGCCCCAAGCTGGCCCCAAGAGGCCCCCAAGAGGCCCCCAGAAGGCCTCCAACAGGATCCCAAGCGGCCCCAAAAGGCCCCCCCGAGGCACCCAAAACGCCGAAGAGCCCCCCACGACCGCCAAGAGACCCCCAAGACGTCCCAAGACGCCCAAGAGATACCCCAAGAGGCTCCGAGAAACATCCAAGAGACCTCTGGCCTTTTTGCTTGCTCTCCTCCTCCTCCTCCTTCCTCCTCCTCCTCCTATCCCTTCTCATCCTCCTCCTCCCCCTCCCCCTCCGCCTCTGCCTCCTCCTCATCCTATTCATCATCTTTCGCCCTCCGTCCATCCAATTTTCTTCTTCGCCCCCTCCCCTTCACACGGTTCGGCCGTCCCCCGCGTTGCTCCCGCACTTCCCTGATCACCTCTCAACTCGCCTGGACATCGTTTCTGGATGGGTTGGTGGGGATACTTTTATGTAGTCAGCGGCCGCGGGCGAGCGCGCCGGCGGCGAGTCAGGTCAAAGCGGGCTACGCAGAGACTAACTAGGCAGAGGGAACGCGCGAGAAACTTAAGGCAGAGGCAGCGCGCGAGGCGAACAGCTACGCGCCGGCCGAGGCTGAAGGGACTGAGACTGAAGGGAACTGCCAGCGCGCAAAGCTGCAAGTCCGTCGGATGCGCCATGAGTCGGAACGTCAACGACGGCCAGGGACAGCTCCGAGAGAGAAGGCGCGATACCGTACCTCAGACGACTGCGTGGGCTGGTGGGGATATTTGTTTGGTTAGCGGCTCCAAGGCGACCGCCAGGGAGCGGGAGCGACGTCCGGGGCGGCGGAACGGTGCGAATTTGCGAGCTGGTGGGGATATTTTTTGAATGGCGGCTCCAAGGAAAAGTCCAGGAAGCGGGGCGGGCGCGGCTGGGGCACAGGGCGAGATAATCGGTTACGACGGCGCCTAGGCCGACGCAACAAATGCACCTGCAAGAGGCAAAATGCCCCCCATTAAAATGCGAGCGACCCGAGAACGGGGACGCAAGCACCAGACTGGAGTAGACGGAGGAGAAGTCGCACAGTGGCGCCAGCTCAAACCGTACAGTCCAGTGAGCACTGGCTAGGGCCAAGCAGCTCAGTGGCAGCATAGTGGGCACGTGAGGCCGCACCGCTCACCACTACGAGGAGGCGAGAGAGCAAGGAACGCGCGGGCAGAAGAGAGGTAGCCGGGAAAGCCTCACTCACTTGGACTCCTGGGCGCGATCGGACATGAGCCACCGACCAATGCACGAAGACGTCGACCCAGTCGCGGAGTCCGAACCTTGACTGCCTGACCCAGAGTGTCGGGGGAACGGTAGCAGGCGTGGCCGAGCGCCATGGACCAACTCGCAGGAGGGCTGGAGAACTGACGAAGGATGAAACACCTGTGCAGTACCAGGAGCACGAAGGTGGCTCCCGCCCAGAGGTGGACCAAGTCGTCGGCGAACAACGCAGGCAGCTTATCCATCACGTTGGACGGGGGAACCAAGCGGCGAGCGTCAACCGGGGGCCAGGGTGGACCAGAAAGGGGAACGTCGTCAGACGAGCAAAGGGTGCACCACTTGCCGTGCCGCACTCACCCAAGGTCCGGCCCCCGGTGGTGCCGGGGCAGGCAGAGGCCCGAGTTGCCAGAACAACCTGGCAGCAGCGCGGCCCGACCTCACCTCGGAGCTCTGCGAGAGAGCCTCCAGGCGGCACGTAGACCCAAGTGCTCCAAGAGCCTCGGTGGGGGGGGAAATCGTGCGCGGCCGAATCCATAGGAGGAGGATGGGGGAGAGGAGGAGACGCAGCCGATAGCCGCAAAATCCGGCGAATGAAAGGAGGAGGGGGAGGCGACGCCATTGCTAATACTGCGAGACCTTGGCCACTGTGACCTCCACCGCGCGACGCGGTGGGACCTCGGTCGCGGGGGGAACAGTGCGCCTGATCATTGCTGGGGAACGCTATGTCCCTGCTGCAGGGCAGCATCGTGGGGGGGAAGCACGTGAGGTGCAGAGCGTCAGAGCCAGGTGGAGCGCGCGGGGTGGGCCTATGGCCACAATCCCCGGCCGTCCAAAGTAGGTGTCCCAGGGGGGACAATGCAAGTGGAGCGCGCGGGGTGGGACCATGGTCAGCCTCCCCAGTCATCCAAAGTAGCTGCCCCAGTGGCGCACGGGGAGGGGGGGGGGATTTCAGCCACCATCCGCCGTTCAGAAGGGTACCGCGAGACCAGCGTGGGCTGTCTAGTGCACAGCGCATGGGCATTGGTGCACCTCTGCCCCAAAAGAGGTGGCACGGGGGTATTAGGGCCGAGGCCTGGCGCAGCGGTGAAACCAGTCCCTGCCCGGGTGGGGAACGCCCACGAGGGAAGCTGGACCGTGGGGGACTGACACATCGCGTTCCTCAGTCCCTCTCCCCTGCATCGCTGTGCGCAGCAAAGGGTCGGTTGGGCACCATGGGGCTGCCGACCCAGCGGGCACCGCCTGGAACGGAGGGGTCCCAGATAGCCCACAGGGTCAGCGCGATGGAGACCACCTTGTAGAGGGCGGGGGAGGCTGTTCCCAGTTGCCCAAGGTCGTCACTGTCCAAAAAGCAAGCGTTGCGCTCCATGACAGTCCGAGTGGCAACTCTGAGAATTGACATGACTGGGTGAAGAAAGGCTTGGGCCGCAGATAGGCTACGCGGTGCATCCTTCACGGGACCCGGGGTAGGACCCGATGAGCAGGTGGGGGGAGGCGCGCGGCACGCCCGCGGAAGGACCCTGAGCGGGCGGGCTGACCCCTCCGACCTGGAGGGGTTCTTGGGCGTCTGCGTCAAAGCCATGTCGCGATCACTTGGGGCCGAAGTCCCACCCGCGCTGACGCTTGTCCGCGTAGTGGATATCTCCTCTGGGGGAGGACCGCTTCCCCCTGGCCTTCCAGTCTGTGTCGGTCCATGTGTCACGCTGGTGCTCCCACTCGTCCCAGGACTGCCAGGAACGCCAGGGGGGCTGCTGATCCAGATGCACCTGTCCGTGTGGCTCTACCCTCGGAGGCCCACGGGGGGTTCTTTGCAGCCTCTTGGCCCTCATCGGTCCACAGGTGTACGCCTCCGCTTCCGATGGGGTTCAACTGCGCGTGCTCTATTGTCGCGCTGCGCGTGCCTGCGTTGCTTCTCCATGACGTTCGGCCAGTCGACGTGGAGCTGGTGTTATCTGTCCATCTTGTAGGCGCCGTATCCCACTTTGCTCCATGCCTGGAGGAAGTCGTCGCACTGCTGTGGCGTGTTCCGCCAGAGGTCAAACTTGATGCTGACCCAGGAGCTCCCTTGCTTGTGGGCCGCCTTTCTGACCCAGGCGCTCCACACCCCATTGAATGCCCCCCCCAGCGTCTTCTGCATTCGCGTGATCTTTTCTGGTGCAGGCTCGTCCCTTGCGACATCTGCGTCGCCGATGGGTCTCAGGTACATGGGGAGGCCACCCATGGGATCGTCTCGGCGCGCAGGTGGGATTGCTGCTGTCCGTGCGTCGTGCCGCCATCCCTGTGAGCTGTGGCGAGGTCGTGGGTGAGCTGCGGGGTCGTGTGGCTGAGTGTTCTCTGTTGCGGTCTTCGACGATTGTGGGTGGTCGGCGGCCTGCTTCGCTCCCCGATTGTCTGAGTGACCGGCCGTCACCGATAGCGTGAACGTTCCAGGTTCGTTCCTCACTGGGGCGGGCTTCGACCCTCCTCCATGTGTCGTGCGGTGCCCCTCGATTGGACGCCAGCGCATATGGGGACCAGGCTTTGGATTCGGTCCTGTGAGGGGGCTGGGTCCATATGGGGG